AAAAATCAAGCAGTGATACATCTCTTGAATAGAATATAGATTTAAATCCATTTGAGTATTTTCGGCGATATTGAACCCTTCGCTCTCAGCATCAACTTTTCTGCGTTTTGGTGTCATTTGTCTAATTATAATTAAATTATACCTCCTTAAACGAGTAATTGTGAATTTTATACTTGTTGGATTATAATATAATTTACCGTAGTCTACACGTGTCTCACAATAAATACTGTTATAATATCATCGCCAAAACAGCTGGTTTGTTACTATGATTCAGTGAAGCGTCGCGGGCCGATTTATATGATTTTCGGGCCGTGGGCAGTAGGTATATAGAGTATAGAGTATCACAACAAGCACTATTTTGTTACAAATGCCAAGCAACTAGTGTGTAGAATGCAGACCGTGTGGGCGTTTGTATTGAAATAAAAAGAAACATAAAATTCACAATTGAATAACGTCAATCAACATCTAGTCCTATTCGAGAAGCCGGTTTGTTAGATGAATCAGAAATGAGGGCTGGAAATTTCAGGGGAAACACTTTAACCGTTTTGTGGGTAAAATTACCCACAACGTGTCGTTTGACGTATGATTTGAGCTCGTTATGTCATAATGGTCCCAAAGCAATTTCGCGTGATCTTATCCTGGTATCACTCGAAATTTTTATGGATCGAAATAATTTCATGGTCGCAGCGTATTTCGCACATAGGCCTATAATATGGAAGTATTTTAGTAAAACCTATTGCGTTATTAAATATCATTTATATGAAAAAAACTCTCAGTGTTAGATGTGCAATTTCCCACCCCTTGTCAGAAACTTAGTTTATGCCTTTATTTATCAACACTCATCACTAACGCGATATTCCCGCCGGTATTACTTTTTTGCTTTGACCAAAGTCTACAACGGCTGCAGGGATTGGCGTTTAAAAAATGAACTTATTTAACTGTATTAGTGTGTTTGAATTTAGAGCTTTATTATATTTTATACTCAACAGGAATTTGAAAATCTGATAAAGGCCACGATCGGGGCTGTGGATTGCCAATAATGTATCGTAGTAAATATATGCTGTGTTTGCTTGAAATATTTTTAAACAAACTCCAATGAATGGGAAGTTTATGTACAAAGTTTTTAGTCGTCAAATTCGGTTGACTACGAGGCTTAATCCGTCTGCTTTCAATCAATAAATCAATCGTAATTTTCAGTGTACCTACAGAAACACTAAATGCACTAAAATTCCCCCAGCTGCCACGTGGCTGTAGTGACACTGACTGCTTCAAATCTTGCGTTAATCGGTATTCACTAACTATCGACTCAACGCTATAATTATTTATAATCTCAGTCAGCAGTTCCTGGCAATTCAGTGGTCGCACGTAACTTTCTTCAATATCAGTCTCCTTTTTTTGGGTGACGTGTGGCCTTGTTTTGTGCACAAATGATATTTAAATAAATTATGGCGAACACAGATAATCGTCTGGTGGCTACCACTTCATGTCGGGCATGAAAATAACTTCATAGATTCCTACAAGCCACGCCTGCATGGCAGCAGTGATCTTCGCTGAAGTAATCCTCCCGGAAATCGAACGTCCCAGGTGTCATTTAGACGGGGCCTTCGGTTTTCTCGCTTCTCGAACGCGTTTCGAATGTACAAAGGGAGATCAGTGGCGCAATCAACCTTTTCTCTGTTAAGTACCCCCTGAGTCACGAAACAATCAACGCGAACCCCCAGTAATCAGACACCAAACTAAATTGTGATATATTGACTAACAATTTGCTGTAACGACTGCCAAGCCGTGCATTTCACATTGTTGCGTCACAATCACAACAACGCAAGATCAGGGAAAATATACGCTGAGTTTTAATTGGCATGCATTTTCATCTTGTAGTTACTTTCTTTATTAAAGGATATTGAAAAAAAGCAACACACAAAAACTCGACTGTCATCCAAGTACCCCTGGAAATATTCTCGGAACCCCTGTGGGTTCGCGAACCCAAGGTTGTGAACCCCTGATCTAAATCATTGATCCATCATTTACACGAATGTTCCCCAAGCATCGATTTCCTTGTTTATTACCGTAGGAATGGCAATCAGCAGTCTACAATGACGTAACAATCGCATTTTGGGCAACTGCTCAGATAGATATTCAGGCATGAATGTATTCACAAATTCGTTTTGCAAACGCTGCGATAGACTAGGCTAAAATTAGCAGTACGTGTAAGCATGTAGCCGAATTTGGATCCTAAAAAGAATGTTTATGAATCTGTGAACCAGTATGTAAGCGCGCAATATCTAAAAAATTTCAAAATAAATCTTAAATAGTAAAGCATAAGAACTTTATTGGTGTCAAGGGTCTGGGAAACATCTATCAGTGGTAAACCACAATGGTAACATTATATATATAAAATTTGATCGCGGATCGGCTTGGTAGTAACTTTTTAACACTTCTACAATATGATGTGGACGGAGGATTTAGACGGCGCATTCGAATCTTGCTTTTTCGTGACATCATAATAGAAACACTTCAGATTCCGACCGTGTCGCAACAATACAAACTTTACACAATTACACGTTGGTCCTATGTAACCTACTTGTCTAGCGGTGCCGACGGAAGCTTTTGGTTTTTTTTTTGAGAAACGTGTCTGTATATTTCTGTTATCGTTTACTAAAATAAATACCTGGCGACAGGATTAGCTGGATTTCTTAGCAGTAGACTCCTGCTAGTCATAAGCGGTATTCCAACTCGACTACATTGTTGTACCGGCGATCCAGAAGTATGTGTACCAATATGGAGGTAACTAATTTTGTATGCCTACTTTATTTGCCTGTATATTCACTCAGCTACCGCAGACAGTCCCCGAACTCGTAATAGAACTAAAATAAGAAAAATAGGATTGAAATTATCCCCTAAACTGGAGTACTGTTGTACCGGCAATGTGACCATTTGACGCAAAAATAACGCAATGCGGACGAAGCTGATGCAAATATCTAGGACTTCATAAGGTTAAAGGTGTCGATGGTGCCAAGTTGTGCATCTGCTAGCGCTTTAATGCCTAATGCCAAGATTACAAAGTCACTCATCGTCGAGTTTCTTTGTTCTTGATCTACAGGTAAACTTTTTGTGTTACTCAGCGGCAAACGAAGTGATATTTCCAATAATCAATCCTATTGTCTGCAACAGATTTTGTTTTATATCTTTTGTACAAAGCTCCGCCAAATAAAACACGCCCGGCGCTTCTCAAAAAAAAAATAGTAATTAACGAATTATGGTTTGGGTGAAGGCTAGGAACGCGGGATGTGCAGGAAATTCAAATTTTTAAAGCATTCCGAACCCTAACAGGACAAAGACTAATTTGTTATTATGAAAAGTGACGGGGGTGTTTTTTCAAAATTTGCATCAGAGGCGAACATATTTAACGGAGGCATCAATTCGATGGCGCAGAATTAAGGGCACCCTCTTAGTGTGTGTACCAGGTTAGCGTTCGGCCAGAATTTTATTACGATTTTTCTTATTTTAGTTTTTATATACTAGTTCGGGACTGTCTGTGTTGGTCGAATGAATATATCCCCTGCCCATAGGATCCAGTTCCTTCACACAACTTGATGTAAATAAAGTAGGCGAATAAAATTGGTCACCTCCATATTGGTACACACGCTTCTTGATCGCCGAATCAAGGACTTGGTAAAAATGACAATAACTCGATATAAGTTAATAGACACGGTTATAGATAAAAATACACACGATAGATCGATTTAAATCAGGATCTCGGCAGAACAGACGTCGAAGAAGCGAGACAGTTTAGCAGGTTATTGATTGTAAAAACCAACTAAGTTGCTGAATTTTGGAAATTTTATTAACGCACCCAAGATATTTAAAAGGAGAGGATTACTACGGGATACGGTACGCAGTACTCACGTGATGTTTCCAAATCAGAAAATTGGTAAGTCTGGTGGATATTTATGATAAAATTTCAGGGCATCGTGATCTTATGACATTGAGAGATTTACTTAAACCAGGGGTGGACAATTACTTTTCCGAAGTGGGCCATTTACAGATAATGGACTTAGTTACTGGGCCGGAGGCTCGAAATTCGGTAGGAAAAACTATGAATAAAAACAGTTTATTTGCAACAGCTAGGCTGTCAACGTTGATATAATAATGAGAAGCACAATGTAACAATAGGGGTCCTTATGACGTTATCTTCGTCGATATTTTTAACTTGAATTTATATCTATAAAATCTATAGTCGTAATTTCAGCAAACACAAGTGGGTCTGATGAAACACTTCGGTGGGCCGGTAATTTGCCCACCTCTGACTTAGACAATTTCAAAAACACCATACAGGAAAATATCTAGAATTGCAGACCAGAAACTGCTTTATTTATTGGTCATTCCAAGTTCATTAATAAACCAATCGAGTCACTCCCAGTCTTAAATCATGCTAAAATTACAATGTTAAAAAAATCAAGGTAAAATTCTTGATTATAAAACTATAACAACTAATTAAAATTACTGAAAAGGGAGTACCGGTCATCAACCAGTGGGCCATGACCCACTGCTGGGCCACAATGACATGTTCAGATGGGCCATGAATATATTAAAAATTGCTAGAGATATAGATAATTTCATTTTCTTCTTTATCGCAGTGGCAATGAATGATAATACTGTTTTTTGCTACTGAGAGACAATTTTCGAACCTCCTGAAGTATGCGCACCAAGATGGTGCACAACCTGAACTCAAGTTGTGTACCAGGGTGGGGTTCAGGTTGTGCGACATCTTGGTGCACATACTTCAGGAGTACCCAATTTTCTTTCTAATTATTAGAGCAAAAGTGTCTATATTTGTGAATTTAGTTTTTTGCTTTTCTATTACTTTTTTCCTTGCATGTAAAAGAAGATTGGTCACAGCATTTTGCAAAGGAAATGGGTCATAAAGGAAAAAGTTCACTGGGTGTACCTATAAAAATAACTGATTGGTAAACAATTAAAAGTTGCACAGTTGCACCGTTCGCGTGCCAAGTTTTGAGCGTAAGGCGTGCCGTGCCTCGTGTTGTGCACCCCTGGCATAAAGACACAACACAATAATCGATTTAAAATAATTCAGTAAAATTAACAAAACATTTATTGTTGAAACAAAAATACAAGGATGAATCAGTGAAGATTACACTAGCGAGCCTAATTTGAAAAAAGTTCAGAATGATAAAATCAGGCCTATTTCATCCATTGATAAATATTCAATCAATTTAAAGGTTGAAAAAACGGGAAAATAAAATAGAAATTTTTTTTTTTATCACAATTACTGAAACTTAAAACTATACAAAAATTTGATTAATAAAAAGTGAAAGTTGCACCAACAAATATAATTGTAACTACTATAACTGCACAAAATTATTCACAAATGCCCAAATCACCTCCCCCCTGGCTAGTCCCCTGATACTATAAGCATTGAATCATCGACAAATTTATATTGCTCATCTATAGTCTTATTGGAAGCAAAACACAAAATGAATTTAGGCAATCAAAATTTTAAATTTAACTAGTATTTTCAGAGTCGACACTTGATTTAAAATGATTCATTAAAATTACCGAAATATTAAATCCTAAACAAATACAAAATAAACAGAGATAACGTCCTATTAGAATAAAATTCTTATTAGAATGACGGGATGGAACCTATTTTATCCATCAATGATTATTTAAAATTTGAAAACAGGTAAAAATATGACTCTGAAACTCATTAAAACTACTGAAATTTATTTGCACTATAAAAAATATGATTATTAACGAGTTAAAGTTGCACCAACAATTATAAATGTAAATTCTAAAAGCAATAGTTCAATCATATCCCACCACCACTATATAATATAGCCTACTATGACTGCACAAAATCAAAATTAATTATTCACAAACGACCGACCCATTCGACTCCCCCCCGGAACGTGAGCATTGAACCAAATTTATACCACTTATCTAAAGTCTTATTGGAAGCAGAATACAAAATTATTTCACTTTTTGATAAATAGCCTACTTCAAGGCAATCAAAATTTTTGAAATGATCAATTCCATAAAATGGGGACACAGTACTCAATTCAAAATAATTCATTGAAAATGATTATCAAAATCAATTTAAAGGTTGAAAAGGGGAAAATAAAATAGAAAAAAAAACAATTTATCACTATTACTGGAACTTATACTATGCAAAAATATGATTAAAAAAGAGTAAAAGTTGCACCATCAATTATAAATGTAACTACTATAACTGCACAAGATTAAAACAAAATTATCACAAATGCAATTATAACAATTGTAAATAAAATTTTAAAAGCAATAGCTCAACCTTATTGCACTGTTAAAACCTACCATAACTGCACAAAATTAAAAAATTAATTACAATCGCGAAAGTATTTTTGACTCATGAATAACAAGATCATGAACAGATTGTAATTCAGCGGTTGACGTAACACCCAACAATTTCATTGTCCCTTCAAATTCATCCCGTAATATTTCCAAAACTTTTTGGGCCCCCCTTTTCCCATCACAAGCAAGGCCCCATAATATTGGCCTTCCCACAAAAACAGCCTTCGCACCAAGAGCAATAGCTTTTGCTACATCTCCCCCATTTCTTATTCCACCATCAAGGTAAACTTCGCATCGTCCATCGACTGCTTTTACAACTTGGGGAAGAGCGTTTATAGTGGGAAGTACGCCATCTAGCTGTCGGGCTCCATGGTTTGAAACCAGGATACCTGCTACATTATGGTTGACTGCTTCCAGCGCCATTTCTGCAGTCAAAATTCCTTTGACTATGATTGGTAGATCTGTGATAGTTTTTAACCAATCAATATCTTTCCAGCTTAAAGATGGATCGATGAGAGATGCAACGTATTCAGCTAGTCCTGATTCTCGTGCACTTTTTACCCCTTTAGAAAACCCATCCTCTTTCGTAGTTTCTTTTTCAAAATTTTTTAGGGTCAAATTTGAAGGCAGAGCAAACTTATTTCTTGCGTCCTGGTAACGTTTACCAAGCAATGGAGTATCTACAGTTACAATAAGAGCCTGATATCCATTCCTTTCAGCTCGTCGAACTAGATTTTCAGTCACAGTTTTATCTTTGTACACGTACAATTGGAACCATCTTATTACGTCTGGAACATTTGTAGTAATTTCTTCGATACTAGATGTTGCCCAAGAGCTTAGTACAAAACCAGTACCGAGAGAGTTTGCTGCTTTTGCAGAATCAATTTCACCATCATGAGATGCCATTTTGTTCATGGCAGTAGGTGCTATGCAGATTGGAAAAGGAATCTTGCTTCCCAGGACTGAGCTTTCCATATTAACATTCGAAACATCCCTCAAAACTTGTGGTTGAAATCTCCATGATTTGAAAGCTGTACAGTTTTCCTTGAGAGTTTGTTCATCCGTGGCACCAGACTTATAATAATCCAAAGCATTTTTATCCAATCGTTTTGCTGCCAATATTTCAAAATCTTTCACGCAAATGCACTTGTCAGCCATTTGTAAAGATATATATATTCAGCAGTTATCCAAATGTTGAATATATTAACTATTTATCTAAAAAAAAAATCACACATTCACAATTATATAATTCACACTGTTATTGAATGATTTACATTTAGGTGGCAAGTTGACTATTTTTGTCCCATTGTGTAAGACTCATAACCAGAAGGGGTTTCCTCCAGTTTTGAGTAATAACTCAAAGGCAGAATAAACTAACCAATCAATGTATACAGGGTGTCCATAAAATACTGAAAGGTTCTCAATATATCTTAACCAAGTTTGCTTTATTTATATCAGGTTTTACTTGGGTTTTCATGCCGTCCATTAGTCTAAAAAGCACATCGAAGTTCTGTTATCTACCATAATTTAATACACAACTACCTTATGAACACCTTGAACCTTTTTATTGGTGAGGATGAGACCAATCAGACTGGAGGAAGTCAGGGAAGGGCAAGGCTAACACTGAATAATTGTAAATGTAATGAGTTTGAAATTAGAAATGCATGAACAGTGATTTGGTTTCCAATTTTTTCAGGTAATAAGAATGTGGAATTTTTGGTCGTACTGTAAAAACTATTCGTCATTCACTTTGGACATCCCTGGTATTTGTAAAAGAAAATTGAAGAAAGGCAGAAGCTTGATAACTGAACGGTGAAACACTCTAAAAAAGTAAAAGTATCAAAGCAAATGCAAATATATACAATGAACTTAACTGAAGAAGGTTATAGGAAAAAAAATCGATGCCTAATTGAACTCTAAAACCTACCAAAACGTTTTTATACATAAGCATACTATAAAAGGCATCACTGGTTTTCACATCAATCAATTTTATTTTAGTCGATCTGGTCAAGTCTTCTTTAGTACAATTTGCCAACAAACTTATCAAGTGTTCAAAGGTTGGCACATTGTGCTAGGGTTAGAAATTCAAAACCACTGGGAGTTGATTATGTGCAAGAGAATTGCTGGTCTCTTTGCTATTGTAGGTGGTTAACATGACTGCTGGTCGGTTCTAATTCCTCCACCATCAACTCCTGCTTCTCAAACGATTACGGTAACTATCCCATACCCGAAATGACTGGTAACCGGACAAGGTCAAAAAATAAAGTTGTCCTATCTGCGTTCTTTTTCTTTGTGATAAATATTAAAGTCTTATCCTAGAATAAGAAGTCACCAATTACAAAAGTACCAATTTGGATGTTGAGAAAATTCTGATTAGTCAGGGTTCAATGATTTTTGGTGGTGCAAGAGTCAAAATGATATCAAAATAGACCGAACCCAAGAAAAAGTACATATCCTGAAAATATTTTTAATTTGAAAAAAACTAAAATCAACAAGAATAGAAATCGTTTTTCACAGGACATCTTAAATATACTCAATTATATAGAAAAATTTAATTTTTTATTTGATATTAAGGAAAAGACTAATGATATTTCCAACTTTCTTATATTTATATGGCAGTAAATCGCCATCAGAATTTGTAGATATCTGTTTTTATCTTTTAACAATATAATATATATATAATACTATGATTTGAATTCATTAAAAACAGTGGAAAATTTTATTAATGTTTAACGAGCTCATTAATTTCGCTCTCAAACAGTGATTAAATCGACTGAAGTGCACGTTGGTAAAATAAAAACACGGAATTTTCTAAATCCGATCCCGAAAATCTTTGAAAACAGGATTTGAGAACAACTGAACTATCTTCCATTATAAAGCTAACAGTCAGATTTAGGTGCTCCCGTAGTATTTGCACCAAGATGGCGGACATAGGAACGTAGTATGTGTACCAGGTTAGGTTAAGGGCATAATTTTATTCAAATTTTCCTTATATTAGATCTATTATGAGTTTGGGGACTAGACTTGGGGACACATACTACGTTCCGGCTTCCGCCATCTTGGTGCACATACTACGGGAGTACCCAAATTTACAGTAATTGTAATAGTATAAAGCGGTGGTTTCCAAACTGTGCGATAATTTTGGGAGTGTCGCCAAATATCAACCTATTTCTTATGAATAACCTTGATAAAGATATTTTATGTGCACAAAACATGCCACATATATTGCATTAAAATAAAACTTTAACATGTCATAATTTGAAGTTGACAATACCAAATTCTCTTTCCAATGATTCATAATTTATGTTACGGAAGTAAATTTGTCGCAGTTATGACAGTTTGGAAACCTCTAGTATCAAATATAAAGGTATGATACAGTTACACTGTGATAAAATATGTTACAGTTTGTTTCTATGTCTACAACAGTGATTTTTCTGATACGCTAGTGGAGTGTTGGACACTCCAACCATAACAATAAAAAGTTATTACTGAAGATAAATTTCAATAAAAAGCCTACAAAATTCAAAAAATCAAAACAAGAAAGAAATAAAATATACAATATTGAACTTTGTTAGAATCATATTTCCAAAATTGATATCTCGTGAAATCAATAAAACGTTGGAATGCTTGGAACGTACAAATTTAGGTGAAAAAAAATAGGAGCGAAAATTCAACGCAATTAACCTTGTTATCACAATATAAAAAATTAAAAATAAACGAGTTCATAATTGAAAAGGATATCTAAAAAAATATCAAATTGCAAGCATGCTTGCACAGGGGTCCTGACTGGGGCATGGCCCCTATACACATTCTCAAGGGTAGTGTGACATCACGCCTTGTCATATACGTATGATATGTTGTGAGTTTCACTCTAATCCCCCTCTCTAATAAAGAAAATGATAAAGCACTCGTTGTTTCACTCTAATAAAGCACTCATTGTTTCACTCTAATAAAGCAAATGATAAAGCACTCATTGTTTCACTCTAATAAAGCACTCATTGTAACACTAATAAAGCAAATGATTAGGCACACATAGTTTCACTCTAATAAAGCAAATGATAAAGCACTCATTGTTTCACTTTAATAAAGCACTCATTGTTTCTCTCTAATAATTAAATCAAATCATTAAGCCAATATATACACTAGAAGAATATATGTGTTTCACACTTATGAATCAAAGAGATAAAATTTTTTAAATAATAAAACCCAAGTGCAATATAGATATGGCAAAAATAAAAACCGGGTACGCATACAAATTGTGCAGATTCGATATAGACATAACAAAAATAAAAACCGCGTTCGTATACAAATTGTACAGATTCAATATAGACATAAGTTAGCAAAAATAAAAACCAGATATGTATACAAAATGTGCAAATGCTATAAGTTGACAGCTGTTAATGAATTGATACAGTGTTTACAACACATTCATTGGTAGAAGTCCTAGTTGTTAATTTAAAAAAGGAAAAAATATGTACTATTAAAGCAAGAAATACTGTTACTTCAATTTGATATTAAGACACGCCAGATTACTATTGTTGAACAAGTTTAGTATCTTAGAGCTTTATTTTGCTTTCACTTATGTTTTAGACAGATAGACACATTCGTCATAAATAAGAAATTTTTCTCAAAAATATTTTAGAAAGTTGCAATAAATTTGAATAAACTGAATTCTCTGAAAATCCTTGATTTTGTGGTTCGTCTGCAATGGTAGTAAATAAAAAAATGAAACATCTGAAAAGATTGAAACAACATGTGTTCTTTTAACAAATTCCCGAACCGTTGGCTGGAAAAGACCGATTGGAGAGTTGCAAGCAATGGCTGACATGCTAAGTACAATATATTCATGTCATTGGCTCATTGCAACAGATATGCCATTAGGCAGTACTCCTAGATTTGAAGCAATTCTAGACAACTCCATTCCAATTACTCTCGAGGGTGGTCGAAATGTTATTGTGATGTAAATATTTAGCGGTGTGTTTCTTGGTTGACGATCAGAGTTCTCTCCCGCAAAATTATGTGAAGTGTCTGCCCCCAATGACAATATTATTAAAACAAATAGCAGGGAAGGATTGGTGGTGCTAAGTTAGAAAATGTTCCCAGAGCACGATTGGTAACTGTTGAATATGAATCATCTTAGTCAAGATCATCTCCATGAAATTTTCTTCCATCACCCCCTTTTTGACTTTCATCATTAAGTGTCATTGCTTCAAATTGTTTGTCCAATGCTTGAAACAAAATTTCAAGAAATTCAGGATTATTGACAACCTTCAGAAATGAACCATGGTGAAAAAAAGTGTTGGCAAAGTGATCAAACAACTCAACAACATATTTATAAGATTTTTTAAGATCTTTAAAGTCAATTTTTCCTTTATATTCTGGGAAAGCTTTTTTATAAGATTCATCAATATCTGCAACGATGTTTAGTAACTTTATAAGGAACTCAATCACAAAATTGACCAATAAAAATCCCTCTGGTCCATGAAATACCTTCATATCTGTATCGGGTGATGCTTTCTCATTTTCATTTTCCAGATACATGACCTGCGGTTCACTCAACACTGGCCCATTGTACCCAATAAAGTAGGAGCAGGTTTGGGAAAGTTGATGAAGCATTGACAATTCATCCTCAGTGATGGATTCCGAAGATTTCTTTGCCAAACCAAAGCCGACTAATGAAACATTTCCATCTTTTACACAGGAATAAAAAGCAGAAAGTTGCTCCTTTGTTTGAGCACAGTAGGTTGTGCCGAGTATTTGCACTTCTGTTTGCTTCAAAAATGAGGCCAAGCTTTTAAAAGCTTCAAAATCAAGCTTCGTGTTACGATCAATCAGAAACCCAATCAGTTTAATCTCGTATTGCTTCGCAGCCACAAGACATTTGTCTAATTTACGATCATCCAGGTCACAGTCGAGCAAACCTAGCCATCTAGCATTAGTAAGATGGACCACTTCTATTACATGACGATAGGCAGAATATTCCATTAAACGATCGCTTACAATGGCAAAATGATAAAATGTTGTGTTGTTACGTTTCTTTATGGCCTCAATCAACAAGCATAATTTTTCAGAATTCAAATTTCTGTTGTACAGCGTAAGATGGGCCACATACACATGTTGTGCTTTTGATATTATATTTAGTAACATAGGGTGTGTCGATTGTCGAACAATGATAGACCACATTTTGAAAGATATATTCGGAATTCGCTCAGCAATCGCCATGACTGCCAGTTCTTCTTCAAGTGGCAACAGTTTTTGTTTCATCGAGAT